GTTCATCCTATAGTCCATGAAGAGGACTAGCTCTCAATACTTACCCTTTTCAGCACATCTTCCTGGTTCATCCTATAGTCCATGAAAAGGACTAGCTCTCCATACTTACCCCTTTCAGCACATCTTTCTGGTTCATCCTACAGTCCATGAAGAGGACTAGCTCTCCATACTTACCCTTTTCAGCACATCTTCCTGGTTCATCCTATAGTCCATGAAAAGGACTAGCTCTCCATACTTACCCTTTTCAGCACATCTTTCTGGTTCATCCTATAGTCCATGAAGAGGACTAGCTCTCCATACTTACCCTTTTCAGCACATCTTCCTGGTTCATCCTATAGTCCATGAAGAGGACTAGCTCTCCATACTTACCCCTTTCAGCACATCTTCCTGGTTCTCCCTATAGTCCATGAAGAGGACAATCTTCCAGCTGGTGTTACAGTTGACAGAGTTGACCTCCTTACAGCCAGGGTTGTCAGGCAGGTCATAGTTACTGGCATGCAGGGGTTGGCCGGCATTCACTGGGTTCAGGACCACCTTGTCTCCCACTACAACCTGAATAAAACATAGCAGAAATTTTACAAATGTGAAGAAATAACTACTGTGTATTTTAATTCAATCTCATTCTCTTAATTTACCCTTGGAAAATCTAAAGAACATTTTGTATCTATTTTACACTGTAAATAAATATTATTTATCATTATTATAATAAAAGTTTGCTACATTTACATTCCCAGTCAATATTTCCTGGAATTTCCATTTGAATTTGGAACAATGCAGTTATCATATTTTAACAATATAATTGTTAAATATATAAAAGTATCCATTTATTTTTTAAAAGAAGTCAAAACTATTCATTGTTCCATTAATATTTCAACACCAATATCTCCATCCTATTACACACATTGTCTCCTGACGAACGGAGTTTGTAGAAGGGAACTATATAAAACCAAGATCCCTCATTTCCTGAGTTGTCCAGTGTGACCCTCATGGCATTCTTCTCCAGTAACGCAGGCAGACGCTTGTTCACTGTCAGGTACTTGTTGCTTTTAAGGTGGAGCAACTGAAGAGATTAATATATGACATTCATACACGTGTTTAAAGTGATCCAAACAGTTTCTTGCCAGAAATAAAAATATCATTTTCATCAAATTATCTCATTGAGTTAGACAGTTCTATGTCACTGGTATTACAAGTGTTCAAACATTTCTTAATATGTTCTGCACAGTCACCAAGATCTATCATCTTACCCAATCAGAAAGAAAAAAAACAGTAAAAACACCTATTACTTGCTCAACAAAGGAATTGGTCGAAATATAAAAAGAAAACAATTGCATAAGGAGAATAGATGTAACGGAAACAATTGTACAAAGAGAACTGCCACATGATCATCAATTTTGACGCTGCCCACTCACATGATAGGCAGCCACATGAGGTCAATTATTTTAGTGACTCCATGAGCTAGATATGTAATCAATAAGTTGTCATTGTGTCTTAATTACTTTCAATTATCTTTACATTGTGATAATGTAACAAAGATGTTATAGGTTTTGTGTTTCAGTCAGTAGTTGGCTAAGTTTCAACCTAAAGCTGGGATAACTGACTGAGGTCATTTTATTCCAGCTTGGGGTTAAACCTAGCCAACAGCAGACCTCAGCCACAGTCAATAATTGTATAAAGATGTCATAGAAGAGAACACCACCCCCTGCACAAGACTGGGGGCTCACCTGTACAACACTGCCATACTGAGCAATGTTGCCCAACAGTTTCTTGTTTTCAATTTCATTCTGTTTTTTCTCCAATTCTGCTGCATGCTGAAAAATTGAGTAAAAACATGCATCAACATTATATGCTGTGAAGTACAAATATCATCTTATTTTGACATTTAGAATAAGTCTTTGAGCCAATACTGAACTGAAAAAAGAGATGTTTTAATTGCCAGAATCTGATATGTTAAACATTATGCTGAACCAATTAATTCTCACTGTAAGAAGTAAGTATACTTGCAAACTGTACAGGAGATAAAACAAACATCAAAGATCAGCAGAAATCTTCAATGCCAGCTGAAGTGAAATTGGCAAGCCAATAAAACCATCTTCTTCCTTGTAGTAAGCAGAGGCCACACTCAGAACGAGACTGCGTGAGACTAGAAATGCTTATTGATGTCATCTCAGAAACTGAGCCAAGTTCTCTCTATAATCTATTTTTGTCTGAACACACATACAGAGTGCACTGATGTGTTCAACACTGTTCCTGTCTGAACACACCTACAGAGTGCACTGATATGTGTTCAACACTGTTCCTGTCTGAACACACCTACAGAGTGCACTGATATGTGTTCAACACTGTTCCTGTCTGAACACACCTCCTAATTGCTCTAATGTGTTCTGCAGTGTTCTTGTCTGAACACACCTACAGAATGCACTGATATGTGTTCCACACTGTTCCTGTCTGAACACACCTACTAATTGCTCTAATGTGTTCTGTAGTGTTCTTGTCTGAACACACCTACCTAATGCAGTGTGTGGGTGTTTTTCATGTCTTCTTTCTTACCGGGTAAGTAGACCATTAAAGTGGCATATCAGCAGGAAAGAGGAAATATATCTTTCTCGTCTGAATTAAATCATTGATGGAAATAATTTTTTTGGATGTTAGATTCCAGGATAAATAATTTTTAATAGCTTAAAAGAAGCTGCTGGCAACTAAGTATGACATTAGTAACTTAAGTTAATTAGTGCAGGTACAGAAACTGAAACTGTACAGAGTTTTTTCAATGGTGAAGAAAGCAGTATCACTATGATTTTTAATCCAAGTTGAATCCTCCAATTATTTTTCATGCGGGGAAATTTTACTCAGAATTGTCACTAGTGACTATATTTGGCTAATAACTTAATATAACTCATATGTGACTGTGTAACTGTGTTACTGACATATCTGACTAACCTTCACAAATGCTCTCTCTCTCTCTCTCTCTCTCTCTCTCTCTCTCTCTTTTTTTTTTTTTTTTTCTCTCTCAAACTTAAACCAAATATCATCATCTCTGGCGCACAGCATGCTGCAGTAAACAGAGAAGTGAAAACACATTCAACTGAACTGTGAACAAAGATATCATGCAATTTTATGGAAGAGGGATGTCTGGCTTAATGACGAACAGATATAAATAGCTGCACATTTCACCAGTGGCACGAAAAGATGGCAAACAGTGCTTATTTATTAGGCATAGACAGAATATGTAGAAAAAAACACATGCAATCATCAGATAAGCCATTCATACAAACACTATGTAGTAGGAATAACACAAGATCCCACATCATTTTACCTAACAGTTAATATGACTATCAAAGTTTCCTTTGTTTAATAAGTCATGGCCATCTTAACCAGAATTAGCACATGAGCATAACACACCCACAGGTACACAATGCATTCTTGGCAAGAAAATGGAAAACAGAGACGTCATGTAACTGTTTCCATGGCAACCCCATGATGGACATCTGTGGCCAGGGTGGCCAGGTAGATACCATCCATATATACGGGTACTGTCCATCATATAGCCAAGTAAAGGAGCTTTGTTACTGATATTTACAACTTCATTTTCATTACTGGATTAAACTGTTAAAGCCATCATGTCTGCCAAAGCCATACTGGTGTGGTCAATATGGAACAGAGATGAAATGTGTGGCAAGCAAGGCAGACTAGCATATCAATATCCAGGTGATAATTTTACGTTCAGGTGAAAATTGCATCTGACAGGCGATAAACACAATTTTCACCTAAACACAAAATTATTACCTGGGTATGCATACATTAGTGCACTTTGAATGATGAATCATCTAGAATGGTGATATAATCACAAGATAACTTGGTGATGAAACAAGTCAAATGTTCTGGAAACAGACTGGTTGAACACATCCTATGTGCGTGTGTTATCAGATATTTAGACAGCACAATTCTCATATTATGTGAGGGGCTCATGTTGCTAGGCAACACAAAACTTCTACCTGAAAAAAGCTTGTTACACAGGCAAACAAAGACTGTTTAAGCTGTGTTAATATGAAAGGGAAACTTGTGATTGGAGAAAGCTGATAATTCTTACAATCACCACACAAAAATGATAGCAAATGGAGACACTTTGAAAGACCACAAACAACAAATATTACAAATAATTACATATTCACAGTCATCAATGGGCAATTGCTTAAATCTAAAATTTCAACAGAAAATTTCAGGACATAAACACATAGAGTCAGCTGTGAAATAAAAGTGCATATAAAACTAGGCCATCAAGTAATAAGTACCAGCTAAGTGTGACATTGTGTTAGGTCTGACATTGTGTAAGGTGTAACATTGTGTTAGGTGTGACATTGTGTAAGGTCTGACATTGTGTTCGGTGTGACATTGTGTTAGGTGTGACATTGTGTAAGGTCTGACATTGTGCTAGGTATGACAGTGTGTTAGGTCTGACATTGTGTTAGGTCTGACATTGTGCTAGGTCTGACATTGTTTCAGGTGTGACATTGTGTTAGGAGATACACTGTGTTAAGCGTGACATTGTGTTAACATAGACATCTGGGGCATTGTGTCATATGTGACAGTGTGTTAGGTGTGTTAGATGTGTGACATTTAATCACATCGTCCAATGTAATGTGCAGTCCACAGTGTGATATTGAGAACAGCATGCCAGGTTTATATATATATATATATATATATATATATATATATATATATATATATATATATATATATAGCAGTTAACTCCTTACTCACATGTAATTTCTTCAGCAGCACAGCGTCAGTGACACTTGTTTGGTGGGAAGTCTGTTTGGAGGCTTTCCAAAACTGTTTCTGTGCAGAGTACCTGTTCATAGGGCAGATACGAAACAGGCAATCTGAAACAGAAAAACAGGCCAACATTATAAGAATCCTAACCAAAAAGGCAATATATGGGTTACTATTGAAGAATCATCAAAGAATCTTAACCAAAAAGGCAATATATGGGATACTATTGAAGAATCATCTAACTGCATGTTAATAAGATAAAACAGAATTATCAAACAGCCATATTCATTTGAAATGAAAGATTTTGTATTTTCCCAGTAAAATAAGTAATTAATTGGTCCTTCTTTACCAATAGTTCCAGTGACAAGTAAGGAATCAAGTGCACAATACCAAGCAAGGGAATTGATTTCTACTGAATCCTATGAAGTGAATGATGATAATGTGAGCTGTCTGTAATAAGACCCCCTACGGCTGGAGCAGGTGTGACAGATGCCATTTAATAATAATCTTACTGTACAGTAACTTATCACTTCTTACTTCATTTCATTATACATCAGTCTGACTCTTGGCTAGCTTCTGAAATCTTCATAAGGCTTTATAGCAGACTCGGCTAGCATTTGAAATCTTCATTAAGCTATATAGTAGACTATGCTGGAATTTGAAATCTTCATAATACTTTTCAGAATTCTTTGCTAGCATTTTGTATCTTCACCACAAGCTTCAGATTTTTTTGCCGAAGGAAAAAGTGTTCTTTCTAAAATAATGCTGATAAATCAGTTTTGCCTTATTTTTCTTAATGTCCATAATACTCCTCAGCTAAATAGTTAAAACTATACCAAAAAGTGTATTCCCAGAGATTTTAGATCGATCTATCCCCGTGGGGAGTCTCACTAGATTACTGTCAGATAATCCGGCTTAAATGTCCGTCCCGCCTACTACAAGCTATAAGGGGGTAATTCACTTTAATGCCCGCTCGGCTGACAGCTATTTAGCGTGAACCCCCAGGGAGTTAAATCGATCTAGTTTGGGTCGATCTAATCTCTGGGAATGGGGTCTAAGTTTGCTACTAAGGGAGTGTTCAGTGATATTCAGCACTCCTTTGCACCAACAGGTTATTATATTGGTGCCCTTGCCTGTCAATTCCCACAATGATGTTGATTATCCTAACAATTGTCTAACTCCACACCATGAATGGTGTCAGGCATAGAATGACTGATTTATGTCACAGCTACAGGATAATAATCTCCTACCCTCTGGGAGATCACATCTTATCCACTGAATATATATGATAACTGCAATGAACTGCAATGCTTCTTGTTAACAATAACATTATTGAACCTCATTAATTGTTTGACTCCCTTTCCTCTTTACATCTTTATTATGTTTAATATAATACAGCAAATGGGACTTACTAAATGTATTCATTTTAGTGAGTGATTGAAATAGCAAGAAATTCATCAACTGCAAGTCCAACCAATGCCAAGCCAGTAACTTCATTTTAAAAGTACTCTTACCATTAAGCTTAATATGGACAAAGCATCAATCACGAAGTAAAAAACAACCAAATCTTTCTGTATGATATTATCTGGTACCCTGATGCTATATTAAGAACCAAAATCCCAAGAAAGCAGCAGGCAGCACTGCTGGGAGCAAGTCTCATCCATCATCTGACAAGAGGTGCACTTTGAAGGAGCAGTCTTGCTAGTAATGGCTGGGAGGATGTTATGACAGATTTACTGAAGAGGCAAACTAATAACTCCTTCACATTACAGTATAAATGGTGAATGATTTCTACAGAACTCCACTACTGCAACTGTATGAGTTTTTTTTTAAATTTGCCTTGCTAGCTATCAAATATCCACCTAACTACCAACCAACTTGCCTATATGCCTACTTACCTACCAACCTATCTACCTTTCTACAATCAATATATCAATCTACCAACCTTACTACCTACCTGCCAAATTGCCTACTTATCAACCAACCTATCTGCCCTAATACTGATGATGTACCTACCTGCCTGCCTACTTAACAACCAACATACCTACCTAGCAAGTAATCAACTTACCAAGTACTCAATCCACCTACCTACCTGCCTACCTACCAACATATCTACAAAGTAACCCAGTGATCAACCAACCCAGTAATCAACCAACCCGGTAATCAACCAATCAACCAACCCAGTAATCAACCAATCAACCAACCCAGTAATCAACCAACCCAGTAATCAACCAATCAACCAACCAATCTGTTTGCATCCAATTTTTTACATTTATCTTTGATAAGCAAGAATACCTACCTCTGAATTTCTTGGGTGGGTTGGTGAGGTCCCCTGCCTCGGGTTGAACCACTGTCCTGTCATCTACCAACCTGGAATATATATAAACAATATCAACTGTCATGAATTAGCAACAAATATTAATTGACATACTGACAGAACTTAAAATAAATACAAGGACATGTTTTGGCATACTGGAGCTATAGAGTGAAGTAGGGGCTGGTTAGGTTAGGGAAAAGCCCACCAAAGAAGACTGAATCAAAACATTGTATGCATATATATTAGTATACTGAGGGTCAAGTGAGGTTTTGTGTGTGTGTGTGTGTTGCATATATATTAGTATACTGAGGGTCAAGTGAGGTTTTGTGTGTGTGTGTGTGGGGGGGGGGGGGGGGGGGGGGGGGGGGGGGGGGGGGGGGGAGCCCACCAAAAGATGACACTGCATGTATTAATTAGTATATACTGAAGCTAGAGGGAGGTTGGGAGAGGAAGGAGGTAGGGAGTAACTATTTAATACTTCATTTAAACAAAGCACTGTTTTAAAGAATGCAGACATCTTTCAGTATGTTCACCAATTATATAGACTTGGTTAAAGCAAACAAAGTCATACAGCAGCTGCCACAAACCAGCTGACATGGTATTCAGCTAGTTGCACTAAGATGGCACAAATCTCTCTCTCTCTCTCTCTCTCTCACACAGCCTGCATGGTTTCTTAGTGAGTTTCTTTGTCACTTGATGTAATTATTGACATGACTGGAGTCTAACGTCATTTTGCAAATATAAAATTCAAGCAGAATTACACTGTGTAATAGCTTTGATTTAAGCAATGACAGAAATCAAATTCATGAGGTATGTAATTTCAATATGTTACCCATCAAAATAACACCAACCATGATACCCATGCACTCAAATCAAATATTAGTTATCTACAAGGATAATGTCAGAATGAAATGTCCAAACAAAACAATTCTATCAAAAGGGTGTGAATTTTGTATAATGAAGATACCATGCAATTGTGGCATACAAAACATTTTGTTAGATTCATCTGCCTATTTTCAAGGAAATGATACTGACATCTTACGCCAATAAATTTGGCTGTTTAAATCACTTTTTGACCTTTAAAATTATTCTAACATTTTAGGAAATGTGTTGTTTTTAAGAAAAACCTCACATATCAATCCCCAAACTGAAACTATTTAAGCAAAATTTCAACTAATTTCTAGCCCATACCATGATTCACGAATAAGTTTTAAGCTTGATAAGATGGCAGAGGCAGCGAAAAAGGACCAAATTATTTTTCAGTCTATGAGTGAACCTCTTTTTTACAGGAGACATTGAACTTCCATATGTAAATGATATCTTTACTGAAATTTTAATCTACATAGCTTTAGCTGTTGTTATCATAAGCAATAGGTTACAAGATGAAAGTTTTATCAACAACTTTCCTTACAATTTGAAAGGTCAAAGCAGCTCTTAACTTCTGTTTTTTCCATCACCACAACACCTATGCCAACATCAACTTCGTTTGAATGGAATAGAATGGTTGAACATTTTTTAGTCAATTATATCATCATGCACTGTTATTATTTTACTTATTGCCATCTTGATTAGGGTATGTAAACAAAAAGAATAGTTCAGTGAATTGCCTTGTCATTGAATTGATTACAGAAGATAGGTTTATTATTTTGTCGTTCAAAACACTAACATATTGTCCAAACAATTATAATGTCAAGAAAGAAATCACACTGAGAAGTGTTTATCTCATCAAGGTATTTTTTTCAACAATTCATTTTGAATGGGAGATGTATACAGTATCAATCAGGTCAACCAAAAGATTATTCAATTATTATAAATTTAGTGTAATTTCCAAGAATATTTCAATAAACCAAATCCATTGTAATTTTGCAATGGAGGGAAATTTCAAATTACCTAAAACTAATTAATAAGAAAATTGAGTATGAAAACTTGATTATTGTAATTATCAATTTTTTGTTTATTTCAGGTTTGGAAAACAAAAATTCAAGTAATCTAGTTTTGTAGTGTAGTGACAACAAAATTGAAAAGCAGACTCCCTTACAGTTCTATTCTAAGCATTAAAAGCACCACAACTGCTATACAAAAATATACTTTTTATGGTTTTAAAATGATGTATCTAAAAGTTTGATAATTTTTGCCCATTGAAAATATCAAGTTATTACCATACATCAAAAATGAAAATCCTACGCCATCTTTCGATCCTTGCCATTTTACACCCTGCTGATCTGAACACACTGTACAGTAAGATATATACCAAGTTATACTGTAATGCTGTATTATCTGTTATTATTATATTGTAATACATGCTGTGCTATTGTAACAGTTTATGTTGAGAAAGTGATTTAAGGTAAAAGCAAGTCAAACACAATGGGCACAACAGTTTAAAGAAAACATCTGAACACAATTGTCATTTTATATGAACACGCATTTCCACAGGCAAAATAGACACCTCATTCCATTTCTAATACCAATAGCACACACATCATTTCTATTACTAATATATTAATAACATCACAGTTCACTTGCTACTATACAAAGATGATATCACCAATAGCAGAAACTTCAGGAGATATCTTAGTCCATACACACATGAATTATCTTCATCTTTAATAGCAGAAAGGAAAAAAAATGTATTTTTTAATTCTCATTGCATATTTCAACAATTTTCACTTATTTCAACTGATCTTTTTCTGAAGTGTTTCAAGCTGTCTTCAATTCTATCGAAAAGTCTTAGGTCATTAACTTGAAGTCATTTCAGCTAGCTTTCATTCCAGAAGGGAAGTTTTTCAACAGGCTACTGGTTCCTGCTTTATCCCTCTGACCAGGTAACAGGTCCAGTAATTAGACAACATTCTTCTCTCTCTCCACCAAGGTGAGATCTGCAGACACCTGCTTTAGGTAACCCTCCTCTCTCTCCACCACTGTGAGAGCTCCACTCATCTGCTGGTCATTAACTGTTCAAGCAGTAAGCAGAGGCCCTGCACCTTGTTCTAGGCTGCAAGTCATGCTTTGAACTAAGATTACAAGGCTGTAATTTTTACATGCTGTATAGCTGCAGGTTTTACATCTTTAATGTTCTAAATATATATTTATATATATTAAAGCTGGGAAATCTGCCCTCACTGAAACCCCACTGAGGGTGGCACACGTAAGGGATTGGGAAAAAATTGTATATTTTATACTGGAATAATCTGAAGAAAATGTCAGAATGATCAAAGATGTATTCTATTTTATATTAGTTTGTCCATCATACAATTACCTGAGAACTAGTTATATTAAATCTTATTATCACAATTATCCAACTGGACAAAAATTGAAGAATTTAATAGATAATCAATGTATAGTTTTAAAAATATTTAGCTAGTTTTGATATTAAGTTTTTCAAAGAACTTCTATGGCTTAAGATGTGCACTTTATACCAATATCTGTTTTATCACATGGGAATGATGCCTACAGATATGTGAAATAAAGATATTTCAGAGATGTGGATATAACAGTGAGCTGACTGTTGTATGGCTATATCAGCCTGAAATCATTGTTTGGGTAGACTTTAGTTGTGTCTGACCTACATGATCTGGAGCATGCCCCTATTTAACCCAACTCTTCAAAAAGAAAGAAATCCGATCATCAAGAGCTCAAGAAGGTAGACAAGATAAGGCCTATTTTAAGATGGCACAATTTGGTTGCTGAGCAATATATCAACAAACTTCTGACCACTGAGCTGATAACATGAGCTGTTTGTGAGCAAACTTTCCTCCCTCTTTCTCTGCAGTCTCCAGATATTACATTGTTGTACTTGTTTTCAATTTCAGTCTTGAATAACAGGCTAGGGAGTGCAAAGTTACAAGTACAAAGCTTATGACACACAGCTATTAATATTTTTAAATATGACCACACTGCAGTGTATTTTACCTGTAATGTGACTGGCGACTGCCAGTGCTTATAATCAGCTGTCTAAAAGCACTGGCATTACTTGGTCTTTTCAATGGGGAAAATTGTGAACTTTACAGATGTTGGTTTCCTTTCTAAGTCATCAATTTTAATAAAAGGAACATTCCTATTGAGCAATAGCAACAATATTGAAATGCAGGATACCACACAGTTCAACTCTACACAGTTAAAGCACCAAAAAAAACCCACGTAAAAATTATATTTTAAAAGATTGAAAATTATGTATCTGAAAGAGTTATATAATTTTTCCCCATTGAAAAGAACTAGTCATTTGCATACTTTCTGCATATACCTCTTTTAACTTATTATTCTGAACAGCATAAAATGTTCACAACAATCCAAAATAATCAAACACTCATGTACCTCATCTGTAAGAACTTTACACATGTTCTATGAATTACGAGAGCCAGCCTTTATCTCCTACATTTGCCTTAAATTCACATTCATCATGAACTACTGAGGCAAGTAGGCCTGAAAATTTAGTTGCCAGGCTCCAAAAAAATCAAATCAAACTGTGTGTGTCTGGGTGTCTTGTGAGAAGGGGGGCATAGCACATACATTTTGATTTCAACATTTTGATTTGAGTTTACCACAAAACTGTAGCACACATCATAATTCATCTGTTGTGTTCTATCATTAGTTACAATAGTACTGTTTCTAATGTATGTACAGCTTCTGTGCACTTTGCAATGTGTATTTAGGTTACAAATTTTAATTTTATTCCGAAACAATACATACAGATACAAAAACTGTTATTCTCCTTAGAGCTCCAGGAAACATTTACGCGAATGCTATATGTGGTGTTTAAGAGTACTTAGTGTTATTTTAGTGTGACTTACTGCTGGGAAAAGGTCAATTATGAAATAAAGGTAGAAAATATTGATTTATTCTTTAAGAATCCAATTTATGATGTGCAAGTGATTTATTAGCAAGTCAAACGTATGCTGTATGCAGTGTAAATTAAACAATTCTGGTGGCCCAATCCTACTGTTAGGTAAATAATGATGGTATATTGAACCCTGTACGGGTTGTGCAAAAAAACTGCAGATTATACTTGCTCAAACTATGACCATAAAAGTGGGGATTTCAGGTGCAAATTCCCTATCAAACATTTTCCTTCCATCAAGTTTATGCCCAATGTCAGCACCATGCCCTTCATTTATTCAAAGCATCCTTTCTGAACACAATTAATAGGTCACTTTCTTTCTCAATTTTAGAAAAACAATTGGCCTTTGTGCTTTTATTTAAACCTAGAAAGCAACTTACATTTACTAGTACTCACCCAGTGTACTTATGAATCCACTGACAGTGTACTCACCCCAGTGTACTTATGAATCCACTGACAGTGTACTCACCCCAGACTGCAGTGTACTTATGAATCCACTGACAGTGTACTCACCCCAGACTGCAGTGTACTTATGAATCCACTGACAGTGTACTCACCCCAGTGTACTTATGAATCCACTGACAGTGTACTCACCCCAGTGTACTTATGAATCCACTGACAGTGTACTCACCCCAG